CGGGCCGCGGTGGTGGCCCCGGGGAGGAGGGGGAAGAAGCAGGCGGTGAAGTGCAAGGAACGGCCCGCCGTCTTCCCCCCGGCCGGAGGAGCAGCTCCGACCCGCTGTGGACCTCGCTTGCATCTCGCTTGAGTCGCATCCGCCCCTGCTGCCGGCCGCCATCACCGCGATAGAGTGAAACTTCTTGTCTACCTGACGTATCTATGGCCCTGTAAAAACTGACTGAGGTTCGCTGTGTGGATGCAGAGCTGCAAAATGAAGTTTGGGCTCGGCTTCCGTTTGGTATTTCAAAGTTATAATGTTATGCGCTGACATATACTAACCATTTTTTTTTTCCAGCGGTACCAGAAAGGTATCTCCTCCTTGTGGTAACACATGCACAGCCAAACACGCACATGCTACTCATGCCGGGCTCCCGTAGTGCAAACACCTACATGCTACGCTTAACTTTCCATTGGCAAAAAAGTGGGCTAAATAATCACACTCCTGACAGGCCGGGGAGGTGGGCTTCTGTAAGTACACATACACTGAATAGATAAAATGGTGTGTTCTTTGTATTTTTGAGGTCACAGACGTATAAAGGTTGCTCTGAAATCTTTTTTTGGACCAACAGAAAATTGCTGACATTGAGACTTTCTGTTTATTACAGCTGAGTTACATATACTTTTACTGGTAAAATGCTGCATCCCTACATGACTCTCATATACTAATAATTTTCTTTGGGTTGCAGGCATATCTTTTGTAAACTTATATATATTTGCCAGTGTCCATCAAAAACGTTTTTATTGGAGCAATAGTGCTGCAGAATCCAAGGAAAAAAGCCATGTAATCAATAGTCCAAACTTAGGTTACACCATTTTTTTGTAAAGAGGCCAAAAAAAAATGCCTCTTTTGTGCTTATACAGTTAACCTGGAGTTTCTTAGTTGGGAATGAGTGATGTGTTTTCATCACTTTGTAGCTTACTATCTCGATTTTCATTGCAACCTTATGTCATGATTTTTCAATACAATTTTTTTTCTTTTTTTTTTTTTTTTCCTGATGGGCACTTGACAAGTATATTTGATTTCCATGAGCTCTTTAATATCAAGTATCCCCTGTAGAGAACACAACTGTAGACAGTAATACTAATGCTGTGATTGAAATCATAAGCAATTCACAAGTTCTACAGGAAGATATACACCTTAAGGCATACATGCACTGCCTCCAATTCTGATCTTCTACTCAATAACTGTCAGTCTTTAAGGGATGCTTTCTTAGAGGCATAAACGTTATTGCATCTGTAAAGTGAAACAGTCTGTTCAATTAGGTACACCTTTGCAAGTACTCAATAAAATTCTATTAAATAGCTGAGATGTTAATGTTCCCATTTCCTTCCTTAATGTTTCTGTCTAACCTCTTTGCATTTTTCCTACTGTGAGCTGTGGAAGAGGTGGCATCCCTCTCAGGACGTAATAGGACAGCAGCTCGCTCTCTCCTTTTTGGAATGTCTCTTGAAAACCAGAGTAAACAGAAATAACAGTCCTTAGATCTCACCTTCAAATTAGTTTTGGTAGTGACTACTGGCTTTCGATACTCATAGGCATGTTCTTTTATATGCAGATTAGTCCTGTGCAATAAGTCAAATTCTAGAATTTGGCCCTTAATTTAGATTTTAAAAATCAGACTATTCAACCACGGTGTTGTATCAAACTGCATTTTTGAGATGGCTGATCCACAAAGAAGAGGCAGCTGTTGGCAACATGTTATAATAATTTCTAATATTTCAAATCTTATCTGTACACAGAAAGTCCAGAGTATTTGTTACATGCCACAAAAACGTGAGGCATGAATTCTATGTGCTTTATGTTCTGATATAGCTGGTTGCAGTGATGTGAAGGACTTTGCTGTAGTTGCCTAAAATGAGTTGATAGTTTGTATTACAGTGTTAAAAGGATACTAAGGCACTGGAGAGATTTACTGTAGTGAGAATGTTTGTAACTGAAAACTTGAAAGTCCCTATGCTGGATGAGCCACCAAAATATTTAGGCAGTGTTGAACAGCATGTGTTTGAGTGGTGCTCATTGTTACACTGAAACTATTCTGCATCAAAAATCCCAGTGTATTTGTAAGCAAGGTTCTGGAGTGGGCCCACTCAGTAGGCACATCATGAAAGATAAAAGACAGGCTTGCAATTTCACTATCTTGACATAAGCAAGAACTTTAAAAGCATTTTTTAATTAAAAAGCAGCTGCTAGATTGTTGAGGCTTAAATTTGCACTCCTTTATAGCAGAAGTTAGAACATGGCTTTCTGTTTTATAATGGTGAACTGTGAATTAAAATGAAAACCAGAATATTCCTACTCACAGGGTAATCAAGGCCTTCCACACAGTAAGAACATTCTACCAATTTAACTGGAGACCATTTAAAAGTGATTTTCATCTCTTTGTAACATATTTTACAGCTATTTTAGCAGTGAATTCTCATTATGTTTGAAACTTTTAAGCTGCTAAAGCTAAACGCTGATACTCTGGCTTCGATATTAGCAAGGCTGAAAAGAGGATGTTCTAAATCATCTTTACAATTTGTAAGCCAGGGAACAAAGTTACTCTAAAATCCACTGACAGCATGCCAAAATAAAGTCAGAGGATATTGGTAAGGAGAGGACTTTCTTGGGGGCGGTGAGAGAGGGAGGAGGAGTACTTTGAGTTACAAATCTATTAAACGTCATTTGAGTCCTTGACCAGGGCAAATTTGCGAAGTTCATCTTGGAACGAGTGTGATTTGTGTTAACATTTTGCAAAATTCCCTGGAAAATATTTCTGGCAGTAATACTGTGTACTGAAACCTGAGTGTAACCAGCTTTGTACTGATTTTTAGAAAAGGTCTCTAAAAAGCCTCTTCTGTGCAGGTGGAAGTCCTATTAAGTCAGTGAATCTTCCTTGTCCCAACTCAGCTGGGTCTATATATGGAATTTGTTATGGAAATCAAAGTAAATGGAGAGTGGAGGCTTGGCCAGCATGCTTTTTTGATACCTTCCCTGTTACTGTCCACTATGTAAGCCCATGCAACAAAACCCAAATAATCACCAGTGGAAGTTAATAATTTTACTTCTCTTTCAATCTAGTAAAATCACTGGTTGCTTCCCATTAGCCATCCTACCTATGCTCAATATAGCACAATGCAAGTGCTTATCTCTGTTTTATATACAACCTCTTGGCTACATGATAGGTTTTTTTTTAAAAGGCCAGTTAGCAAGCTATTGGCATCCTGTCTTACACTGTCAATCTTTCAAGCAAAAAACTTGAAATTGTGATAGTATTTGGATGGGAATTTTTAGAGGAACATGGATATGCTATGGGTGATGATCCTGATAATTTGGTACACAGCGTATTTACCTCATTCATTTCATTTTAAGAACCCATTACGGATTCAGCAGATCCCCCATCCCCAGATGCAAGAACTGCAGAGTTAGATGCTTTAATTGACTAAATGCTAAGGTGTTTGTCTAACTAGTGATTGAGACTCTATGCTGTTTTATTAGTATACAGCTGGTATGTGCTGGTAAAACATTCCTGAGTACTTTCAGAGACACTCATTCAATGTGGATATGGTAACACTTGATCTTTTAGTTCTGTCTTTGTTTATATTTGTAGGCTATTCTGTGCTGCTAGACGCTGACAGCCCAGTTTAATTGCGTGCCACAAAGCCTACTCCCACAGGAAAAGAGGAAGAGCGAGACCTTTTTGCTGTGTTGAGCTGTTAGATAGCTCTGTTGTTTTATGTAACTTCCTGCAGGACACAGGTTCCTGCACGCAGGGAAAGCGAAGATAAGCCAGATTTCCATTCTAACCAAGTTCAAATCTCTTAGATGTGCACGTCACCAAATGCAGTTTGGTCTCAGCTATCATCTCTGGATGTGGAGTAAGCAACTGGAATGAGATAACATAAGAAGGAGCGGAAAAACCAGGAGGGAAGTAGTGCTAAAATGTATATACAAGAGGATGGTTCAGAGACAGCCAGTATGTTTAGCTAGCCAACAGGCTTTCCATTACATTAACCTACCCAAATAGATGGGGTGAGACTGTTCATTTTTCTTCCCATTGACTGTAGTTAAGTCATCTAAGGTATATCACATGTAGGCATGATACAGCTCTCCAGTAATTTTCACAGGATTACTCTGTTGGCTTGTCTGCCCATACCTCACACCTGAGGGTTGTATGCAGCTCAGGAGGTTCATGCGAGGTGGCTGAGTTCCAATAAACAGTCCTGGCTGTTCTTTCTGCCATTTCTTACACTACTTTCCTTGACCTTAAAAAAAAAGGCAAGGTTGTTTGGAGGGGCTTTTTATTAGATTAGTTTTAATTTACATCAGTTTTGTGAGTTGGTTAACTACTTGGCCACATGACTCCTGTGCCAACACAAAGGAGACCTTGCTGCAGGAGAAGGAACAAAGGGTGAGAATCTGGAGGGGAGAGTCTTTTAAGTCGGCAGTGATACTGATAGTGCTTGTGGATCCACCAACAATGCAAGCATCTCTGCTTCCTGAAGCTCATTCTCCATGCATTTGGCCCAAATATAGTTTGGTTTACCAGGAAATCATTTCAATGGGGCATTCAGAGGACTTTCCAGGGTAACAGCCTTATCAAAGACATGTAAAGTGACCCATTCATCTCAGTGAATGAGTGTGCTTTAGAGAAGAATAGAACTTTTTAATACAGGTCAGAGAAGTGATTGCTCCATTTATCTGCCACATCTCAAAAAGTTCAGTATCTTCATTTGTGAATTGGGGAGGAGACAGATTTGAGGAGGGAGAAGAGCAAAGATCTCCATTTTTTTATAGGATTGCTCAGTGTTGATTTTGATTTTTAAGTTTGATCATTTTCATGATGTAATTTATATTAAGATTCCCAGGAGCAGTTACATGGAAACAACTTGGGCTGGCCCTTCTGCTAAAAAGGAGCCTTGTTGTGGAGCTATGTCTAGGAGGGCCTCTCCTCCAAAACCTTTTATGTCTTTCAGTAATGCTCTCACACATAACCATTTAGCATGTGTCAGATGGTGTCCCAAGTTCCACTTAACTTGTCTATAAGTGTGCCTACACTAAATATTGTGTGACTGTAATAAATGTAAAGCAGGGATCAAAGCAGGGCCACAGCACAAGCTCAAGTGGATATAAAAATGCACTGGGAGGGTGAGTTGGATTAACTAATGCTATTTTTGAAGAGACTTTTTTTGAGAAATTCTTCACTCTAGCAACATTCGATTTAGCCCATTGTCACTACCCCGGGAGATGCTGTCAAAAGGAGACAGACCATAGCTCTAGACAACTGAAATTCTAAATGTGCAACATTCATGTTATTTTGTCTCTAAGCAAAAAGTGATGTGGAATTATAACTATAACTGCAGTGAAGAAAGGTTGTCTTGACGCCACTTTCATTTATCTCAGCATCCTACATATTCAAGTAAATTGATTGTTACCTGTGTAAATGGGAGTAGCACATAAATATTAAATGATGCCAAATACCCCATGCAGTTGATGCCTCTTACCATCTTTGACCAAAAATAAACGTGAGCAGCAGGAAAGAAGGGGATGGCTTTCTGACAAAACAATTGCAAAAAGGAAGCTATCTGCTTTGCAGCCATAAAGAATAATAGAAATGGAATCCTACACAAAGGGAAGTCCACCTTATTTGGACATTTGTTCATCAGGTAAATTCTGCTCTCTGGAAAGTTTTCTGAGAAAAAAAACCAACCCCTTTTATTTGTAAAGCCACTTGTGTCCTTTTTTTTAATGTCAGTTGCTTCATGTCTACCCTCTAGTGTTGATATGAACAGTTTCCAAGTAGAGATTGCAAGTGTGCTCTGCAATTCTCTGCTCTGACCTACTAAGAATTTAGGCAGTCATTTGACTCAGTGCTTTTGTGCAGTTCTCTCCTGAATAACAGCATTTAAAGCCAGATACATACTTCTTGAAATATCTGCTTATTTTAATGAATAGAATAAGTCTTTATTTTTTATTTTCTGGAAGAAAAGAAAGGGTTTTTGGGGACATTGTACTGAATGACAGGAAGGTTCTGGAAAGAATGGAATCCTTTTGCATCATTCATAATTTTAAATGCAGTTTGTCTTCTTTGCAGTGCTAACTGCCTCCCTCAGGTTCGTCTTTCTCCTGCGAGGGCAGTCGCTCCGCGACAAATACAACCTTTGAGCTGCTCAAAGTTAGGGAGCTAGAACTTGCTGGGCTGCTTCAACTCACACAGAAAACCATTTCCTTTTTTTTTCTCAAGTGGGCTAGTCTTATGTCAGGTTATTAAGCTCAACTGGTTTGTAGGGGATCCAGCAAGCATCAGATTGCTCAGAGGAGCATGCAGAAAAGGGGATCTTCTTCTTGTGGTGGGTTACCAAATCAGCTTCAGCTGCTTTATGCAACTTCAGCCTTGCACTCATGGAACAGAGCAGGTAGAGCAGAACATGCAAGTGATCCATATTCTTTTCAGTACAGTTACTTTAAAAAGTTAATTTAAATCTAAATGCAACTAAACTGTTTAAATGTACTAGAGTGAATTAGGGTTGGATCACACATTTTTCTGGTTCACATGTGGAAGGAGTATGCTAGGAATGGTGAGGTCTTCAGCTGCCTCAGCATTTTCTAGAAGGATACCTAACTGTGCTGTGATGGCAGAGACAGATCCCTTGTTCTCCTACCAAAGACAGAAATTCTGTATGCAATTAACATAACAGATGCAAGTTCAAGGATGTATTTTTGAACCAACTCATTGCAAAGAGAGAAGAAATACTTTTAAACCAATGATGGTAGTAGTATTACAAGCCAAAGGAGGTTGATACTGAGTAACCAATGTCAAATGTGAGAAGTGGTAGATAAGCACACACCAGAACAACTGTATGTCCATTGTCACTCTTAAAGTGAATATGATAAAAAACGTGATTTTCTAGGGATCTTTCTCTGACATCTCAGAATTGTTTTAAAAATGCTAGTCAAATGGCAGATAAAGTCTACCCTGGTGGAAATTTAACTTTTTAATGTCTTTCATAAAAGAATTAACAAGAAAATAATTAATCATAGAGCAGGAAACAAAGCACTATATCCAGTAATATTTTTGTGTAAGATTTTGTGAAGAGGGACTTGAGTGGAATTTAGGCCTTTCTGTATAAATAAAACTGGCAGGTTTTGCTGCTGCAAAACTTGACTACTTGATTTCAGGGGTGCCCTTGTGTGCCCAGAACTGCCCCAGCTTTGGCAGGGCTGCACAGGTTTATGCCCAGGCGTGACTGAGATCCAGAAAAGAGTTGTTCTGCTTGAATATGGTGAAAGGAAAACCCTGGAAATGCATGCCTTGCAGGCAGTATAGGCTATAGAGTACTTAAACAATCACAAAATGAAGTAGTGGCTAGTAGGATTTTGCAGAGTAACAGTTAGTTATGGCATGGCATTTGTCACTTACCATGTCATCATTCCCTGTGCTGTTTCTATGTTTTCTGTACTTCATGTGGTTACTGGTCAAGGCAGACTCTCGCCCAGTACACAACAGGGACCAGAACCTGTGCCTGCCCCTTCTAGGTGGGTTCATGTGGTTACTGGTCAAGGCAGACTCTCAGAACAGGGACCAGAACCTGTGCCTGCACCTTCTAGGTGGCCATCAATTTTGTGTCCTCTCTTTCTGGCTCACTGAATTCTCCAATTCATTGCTGCCCAGCACCATTGCTGCCCTGTCACCGAGCAGGCAGGGATGGTCCACCACCCCAGCACAGGCAGGTGGCAGGGCTACCAGGAGGGTAAATGCAGATAAAGGAATGAAGTGTTGTGTTTTCTCCACCAGCCTTGCCTAACCAAAAAGAAGTCCTCTTATGGGTTCAACTGCTTGGTTAATTGCAGAGGACTAACTTGCTAGGAAGGTCATAGAGATGGTAATTAGAAATGATGGGATGAAGTTTTAATTGTACATATTTTCTTTGATCAGTTAAAGTATTATTTTCTTTCAATTAAGCCTGTTAATTGTGGTATGTAGGTGAGCTAAGGCATCTAGGCAGAGGTTATATCTTTCGTTAGACTAACTGGTGTCACTGCTAAAACCTCATAGCTTTTGGATTATGATGGGAATTCATACCTAGTTTTAGTTTAAATGATTGAAAGTGAATATATTAAAGGGAGCGACTGTGTACGCATGTAGGTGACCTACACTCAATAAATAAGTCAATTTCTTACTATCTGAGAGAATCTCTTTGCATGCAGTTTGTAGAAAGTTCATTAAACCAACCTGTTGTATGGCTGATGGATCAGCATACAGCTGTGTTCTGTTCAGGTCTTGTATTTCTTCCTGCTTACAAAGCCTTTCTAACAGTAACTTTTTGCCTTCTGTTACTGTGTGCACTCTCTCTGTTAATAGCTTTTGGAAGTGGAGTATGGTGTTTTCAGAAGCACTTTTCTTAAGTGGAACAGGTGACACCTCTGTGGACAAAAGCAAAGTATGTAGTTAGAGTGCACAAGTCAATGAACTGCTGACGCTGAAGTTCAGCACATGCTGGGTTTTCCTAATGCTGTCCTTCTGTTACACTCTTTTGGCAGGCGTTGCCTGGTGTTGTGTAAGGGGTCATTGTATAACAGCGGGCAGGAATGAAACAGTCCTTGTAAAAATCACTCATATTTGAAACTTTCAGCTTTGCCTAACTACTGCCTTCTGCAAGGCATACTTATCTAATAAGCAATAGATGAAAGTATATTTAATCACATAGAGTTAGTTCTGGTAGTACAGTTTGTGATGGTGTACTGTGCAGGTTGAATTCAGAAATGTTGTGGTGTTCAGATCTGTTTGTGTTCATCTGTCTGTAGACAAAGCATCATTTTAGTATTAAAAATAGAAGCCTCCTAAAAACTAAGTTTGTCGTCTCTCATTGTTGGACTTTTTGATTATTTAGGGCATTAATTCTGCCAGGAAGAAAAATAAGCTCCTGATCTTTCCTATATCAGATTGCATGCCACATACTTCTATCCATCCCTTAATTTTTCTCTCTCTGTGATTCTATACCGTATCTTCTCTTTGGAATAGCTGTCTTAACCTGTTTTCTCTTGTACAGCATGTTAGACATTACATGTTAGACATTACGTGTCAAAACATGTGATTTCTCCTCTCATTTACTGACACACAGTATAATATGAGGAAACCACAGCCACAACTGTGATATTGTCCCTATTTTCCTCCAAGCAACACAGGTAATTACGACATAGTCTTTTAAAAATATTTTTATCTTTTCCTTGCACTTGATTCTTATAAATCAAAGTATTTCCTGATGTCTACCTCATTTCTACCAAGGATGAGGATTAAAATAAAGAAATTTCAGTTTTTCTTAGACCCACATTTTTATCAGGACTCTTCTTTTGCACTGTTGAGGGCGAGAGAAGAATGTTGTTTTGGAGCTTGGTGTTAAGTTGTAGGTTTGTTTTTTTTTAACTGTTTGAGTACTGGAAACTAGAATCTGGCATCTCATTCAACAGGAGTGTATAGATGCTTTAAAAAGTATGGGGTTCTTACCATCATTCCATGTTTTCCTCTTGAAACCCAAGGATCCTGTGTTTGCTGTAACATCTCCCACTGAAACTTAGAAGAGAAAAGCAAAGTGATTAAGTATTTTGCAGAGACTGTCACAGCACAGTCAGTCACACACCAAAATCTTTATACTACAAAAGCAAATGCATTGGGACAACTGACTTGGAGCAATGAGAATCTTCTAGAAAAGTTAGGTGTTGGGTTGGCACACAAAATCAGGGTGGAGACACATTTATTCGGCAGATGCCTTGAGCAGCTTAATAACTAAAGCTTCTTTTCTGAAAGGTTATTGTTTTACTATCTCCTAGATCAGCATTCATAGCACAGATTACACAGTCCTTTTCCAGCATGCTAAAATGTAAAACAGCCAGGTTGGCTCAAATATTCCTGGTGTTGACAATTCCATTCATGGAGAGCAGAAATGAGCAGTAGTATCTTTAGTTTCTGGATTTGAAACGTCTGTCTTTAAAGTGTGATTGAACACAAGAAAGAGGCAGGTGAGGAACACTGGTGTCACTCCGTGACACTGTGGATGCCATTCCAGCCTCAATTAATGGCACTGCCATATGGTGCCCTGGGGTACTGCATTAGGGCTCTGATTCATGAGTGAAGACAACTGGATTAAGGATGGCTCCAGCGCTTCCTGCTCAAGCTGTCCACCTGGCCTCTGCTGCAGAAATGGCTCAAGTCCACAACTAACATTTGTGATGTTGCAAATTATTATCTAAAATTTTGAGCAAAATCAGAATTAGTTCTGGTTTACCACAACTCACTGAGCTGTAAGTTGCAGTGGTTGAGTTGCTTCTACAAGAGCACCTGATTTGCCTGGAGCAGGGGCAGGTGCCCCTCAGAGCTGGAGCAGTCGCCCACTCATGAGAACCCTTATGTCAGACACAAGGTTAGCTGTGCAGTTCCTAGATCAGAGTTCTGTTGATACTAAAATAGAAGCAAACTCTATTTAGAAAACTGATTCTGCTTTAGCAAAATTAGTATACTAATTACAGGTGCTTACATAAACATCACTGCCCTGGATTTTTCTGTCTCTTGACTGTGGCGTGAATTGAATTAATGAAGTTTGATTTTTTGGAGTCTTTGCACTTGACTTGATGAACAGATTTCTGCAGTTCTAACTGGTGTGGGCTTGCAACTCTCTATCAATAATACTTTACATGCCGGCTTGATCACCTCTAAAACCTGTGATGTTTTCTAGCACCATTTCACCCTATCTAACTTAAGCTGCCAAAAGCACAAAGAGTCTCCAATGACATTGAACACTTCAGGTGTTTTCATGTTAATGTTCTCACTTCTAAACTCTTCCAAAGACCACCTGTTTGCTGAGCATTGCCTACTTGACCTACTTAACCATGCAGGTACAGGTTCTTCGATTGTTTTCCCTCCCCATTCTGGCTACATATTTCACCCCTACAGCATGGGTCAACAGGGAACTTTAAGTTTCATTGTAAGCACTTTGTGTCATCACTGAAGTTTTTAGTACCTGATAGGAGACTTGAACTTTCACATCCCCAGCCTGAGGGACCCAGAGGCTGTCGTCTTAAGATACAGTCAACTTCATCATAAAATCTCATTTTTCTCCTGGGATTACCAAGGTGCTCATTTTCCTTCTGCAGTGCGCGGTATTCGTATTTTAGGTTCTTGTACTTTGTGCGACATTGTTTCCAGTCTCTGTCTATACCACGTTTCATTAACCTTCTGGCTATTTCCTCAAATATTTCTTTATTTCTTGTGGCCCCTTCAAGCATTTGTTGTATCTTTTCATCTGACCATATGTTTATCAGAGCTCTGACTTCATTATCACTCCAGTGTTTTCCTGCTCCAGTATCATTAACTGTAATAACTTTAAAGTGGTTCTGTGTTTCTTCCAAGGGAATGTGATTGTCTGAAAACATAAATAAAACAACAACTGAATATTGCTGAATATACATACATTAGAGTGTAATTGTAGCTAATGATTTGGTAACAAGCTGAAGGACTAATTAATGTTTATAATGGTCTCTTGTTACGAAAATCTTTTAATTTTGCAATGTTAATATCCATACGAGATAGCATTTCAATTAAATATGCAAAATATGTAGCAAGTGAAACCTCTTGTTTCTCCAAGGCATTTAAAATTCCACATTTTGTCAGTGTAATTTTGTTGCTGCTGTTGTCAAATTAAAGACAGATGTATCCCAGTGCTATATGCGGGAAAGCAATAGGCCTTAATCTTTAAAAGTGACAATGTATCAGGAGTGATAAGAAAATGGCTTTCCAGTAGGGTTTAAAATTAGAATGGCAAGGCAAAATATCACACAAATGAAAATGCTACTGGGAATTCAACAGAAGAAAAAAATCCTACCTACATATTCAGAAGTAGGCAGATGCTGTGCATCAGATAAGATAGAACACAAAGAACTACAGAATTAATGCAAGTTTTGCTTATGTCAAGGAAAAGAGCAATGAAACTAATTTTTAAGTTTAGTGATAAAGCTAGACTGGAGTCAGAAGCAGAAAAGTAGAGCTGTGTTTACAGTAGAGATCTGGTTGCTCCAGTTTTGGTACTGAAGTTACTATGTGATTTGGTTTCAGAATAAATGCATGGAAATTAATACTCACCTGTCCCAACTATCCGTTTTGCTACTGGCGTACAAGATCTGTCTTCTGAGGTAGTGCTTATAGAATCATCATCTATAGAAACACAGTTTTAAATAAAATAGACTTGGTTTAGACAAATAAATTGCTAATATTATTGCCATCCTCTGCAGGTAATACCTATCTTCAACTAAAAATGTCATATCCCATTAGGTGAATCCATTAGTTATAACAAGTCTTCTGCAACATGCCTCCCTAAATCACATTATTTATTGGCATTTCCCATAAACCCTATCTCTCTTTCTGCTTCTGCATTCCCCAAAAGGTAGCTGTGGATGCAACACAAATTTAAAATACTTAATTAAACATGTAGGCGTATGTGGATGGTTTATATCTCACATATAAGTCAATTTGCATAACACGTTTGTACATCTCAGTTGGCACAGGTGTGCCATCCAGAAGTGGGTAGGGCAGGCTTGGGGAGGCTCCGGTGATATTTGTGGATAGGGGATCCACATCTGTGGCCCTTCCCTTCGTGGGGCCACACAAGCTGCTCCACTGCTGACATGGAATGAGCAGGGATTTGAGCTCTGGAAGGCCACTGTCCCCTCTCAAGTTTGGGACCTGTGCAGGTGGTTTGAGTGCAGTGAGGAGGAGTGAGAGGCACAGGATGCCTGCGGCAGACCTGCACGCAGTGTGGCTTTGAAAGAAACTGAAAAGAGACCTTCACTCTTATTTCTACCCATTCTCCTCTTTTCCGGACTCCTTTTTAACACACACAAAAAAAAGTGATTTAGAGTCCATTTTAGTAAGCAACCATGGTGGGTTTCAAAGCTGGGCGTGCCTTTCCCTGATCCTGGGAGTGAGGGAAAGATGGGATACCAGGCTTTGAGGGGAAGGTTGCATCCTTTTGCCCTCCTTTAGCAGCCAGCCATGTTTATTTACTTTTGGGCAAAAGGCTAGTCTCTGACACACAGCTTTTGTGATGGAGATAACATAAGCAGAAGAAAAACTGAAAAGCAAACAATTCATTAATGCTGTTGTGGAAATCTTCAGCCTCAGCTTAAATTGCACTTTCTATATGTAAGGATGGCTCTACCTGAAACTATTCTTTGTGGCTTAAATGACATAACAGGGAAGACA